ATACTGAGATTCTGAGTATCTATTTTGTTAAAAAAAAAAATTCTACTTTATATTTGGCACAAAATATAGAACACTTCTTTTCTAAACCCTTTTATTTCTATTGATATTGCAACAAAAATTATGAAATGTATATAAACACATGCTTATAACTTACATGTTTGTAATCTATAAGATAGTGCTCTAGTTTTATTTTATTTATGGTTAATTTAACTGAAATAGAAAGAAATAATTTCACTTGTCTTTCCAACTTTTCCAGAAGGGAATTACACATGAGGGAACTCTATAATTTAAGGCTCATGTCATAACTAAAATAAGTAACTAACCAACTATTATAAGGTTCTGTTTGTATACTTAACAATGACAAAAGAGGTACTGGGTGTCTCCTGATAATTAATGACTAGTTGGAAAGAGTTGATTTTCCTGTTCATCATTAATCCCTGGGTAAAATACTATAAAGGAGGTCAATATTACAATTCTTAAATTAATGTAGGTAGAGTGATTTGTAAGTTTAGGTGAAATTCATTTCATGGATACATTTCAGTAACTCAGAATAAGTAATTCCTTATGCATGATACAGTTAAACTTTCTATATTTATCTCAACTGTCTTTTATTTATAATTAATGTCAGCAAAAACGTTTCTCTTTTCTAAGAGAAGGTGGTGTAGGTTCAAAAGTGAAAAAAGATACTAATCTAGTCAATTAAATTGAACACTTAAAATAATAGCTAAACTCAAAACACTGAATACCAGACAGATGTATCTGAGTACAGCATTACTCATCTTTAGAAACTGTTTCTTATGTCTATTGAATAAACTGCAAACGCTTATGCCCAGTAATCAATACCTTGTACTTATCTAGTAAATGTTACCTCTCATGCCTTCCTGCATCTTTGAACAAGCTGGTTTACTACTGCTAACACAGATTGCCCTACTCATCTTCACAGCAACTTTACCAGGGTGCTGACTAGAGTAAGGTGAATAGGAAAGCCCCCTGGAGAGTGGCTGTGGGTAGCTGAAGCCTGAAAATGGGATAAACTTTATTTTCTTCTTAATTTTAGGTGAGGTCTTAATTTATGGTCTTTAATTATGGTAAGCATTTGGATTTTAGGACAAAATAGTCTTTTATCCTCACATTTCTATAAAGTTAAATAAGTATTAAATTATAAAACTTTACTTCACCTAATCATCTTATAAATAAATAAAAAATGAAAAATGTTTTAAATATTTTCTGCTTATGTCACAGAATAAAAGTCAAAATTGGTCTTTATTTGCTATGATCGTCAATTAATTTCTTTCTGAAGTTAAAAGATGATTTGACCTTACATATTTCTTAAATAGATTGGCTTCTTTTTAAAATATATACATATTTCCCATATATAACTAAAATAATATCTTATTATAGAGATAAGCCCTAGCCATACTTCCGAGGCTATAACCTATTACAATGTCTCTTTTTCTCCAGTAAAATGCAAATTGACTGTTTTCAAAGTGCTAAACTGCCATAGAGTATATCCTAAATTGTAATAGTAAAACAAATTAACCTAAAACATTAACGACAAATGCTCTTTTAAGCTTTTTATTTTCTAGAAATCCCAAATTCTTCCTTCTAGAAGTCCATGCAGCTTAAAGTACAATTTTTTTCTTTTGGTTATACATGACTGCTATATGAGTTTCAGATTAAATTTTGAAACAAAACATACTAAAGAATATAATTAAATTTCAACTATAAATAAAGTAGTAATGTAACAATGACTAAGCCAAATGTTTGGCGAGTATGCTGTATAATAATAAATTAACAAAGGCTTAAAAATGAAATAGATTTACTTTATGGGGATGTCGTGAACAGTAAATTAAATAATTGATACAAAGCCCTGGACATAGTGCCTGGCACACAACTAGGCTCAATTAATTATTATTTAGTGGATTGTCATCATGAAAGTGATCTTAGATTGATAACAGTAAAATTTCTGACTCAATAGCTCAACCAATTACCACATAAATTATTGAAACCCCATGAAGTAATGAAGTGGCATTGTATTTAAATTCTAAATTCTAAGTATATAAATGTAGCATTGTACAAAGGATATCTCCTATTGTTGTATCTGATATTTTTTGAGTTTTCAGCTGAGTTTACTTTTGGTCAAATACAGTACAACATTGCTATGCAGAATGAGAAAATGGATGGAAGCAACCTGGAAAGTGGTTCACAGCAAGCCCCATTTACTCCTCCCAACACCCCGGATCCACGAAGTCCACCAAATCCTGAAAATATTGCACCAGGTAAGTAATCCTCTCACAGACAGAACAATAAGGTGCTGTGCACTTGAATATATGACTCAAGTTATTTAGATCCTTTAGCAAATGGTATCTAAATAATACAGCTTTTCTTATTATGTATCTATTTTGTAGATATAGATACATTTTCAAGATAAACGTAAAGATTTAGCCCTAGAAGAGTCATGTAAAACATTTATAGTAGTCTTATGTTCTTTCAGATGGTCCATTGTAGTTATTGGCAATCACCTACTATATTAAAATTAAGTTGTTTGCAATTATATTGTAATCCTATTTGTATAGAACTATACAATTTATCAAGTGATATATATGTCTTCTTTAATTTAATAATTATTATATACTTATGATAATACTCATTTTACAAATTAAGAACCTGACATTATGAATAGCTATAAGCCAATACTGACTGATCAAGAATTAAATCCAGGTCTGGTACCAAATTTACAGATGCCTTATGTGAAGTGACCTTGTGGAGATTGCTTTTGTATTTTCTGCTTCCTTAGAGGACTTTAATCCTTAAGACAGTATATTTGTTTATTATCTTAAAAGAGAAGCAAATCCTTATCAAAGTCAGTTAATGTTATTCAGAAATATTGTTCGATTTTGAAATATTAAATCAGAAAAATTATCTGATCTATTTAGATAATACCTTTTCAAAATAACTCAAAGCAAACTATCTTTAAGTTTTTCCTCAAGTAATGTATAAAGTAGATTTATAAAATTTTCAAAAACTTATATAGTGAAATTAGCAACACCTGTCATATTTTTGTAAGTTAAATAGTAAATTTAGTGGAAGTAATTCTAGAATTCTCAGATAACAATAGGGTTTTTGAAAATATAAAAGTAAAGCAATTGTATAATATGAAATCTTATTTAAAAAGTAAGTCGAATATTAGTCAATGATGAGCCTGGATTTATTAGGACATTCTTACTGAACACAATGAGAAAAAAGTATCAATGGACATAATAAAATAACATTAATGGAAACCAAATGCACAATTAGAATGCATAGAATTCTGAAGTGAAGTTGTAATAAGGTTCTCAAATAGCTTTCCAACAGCTTTTCTACAGCAGAAAAGCAGGCAACAGATTCTACACATACAACATTAAACACATGGTGGGGAGAAACAAGCTTTAGAATCAGACAGATGTTGGTTCAACCTACTGGATCCTTCCATCCCTGCCCATTTTACTACTGTGTTGGGAAATAAAATAAATCTCTTTGAGTCTCAGTTTCCTCAGTCTGTAAAATAAGAAAAATAAATCACACTGAACAGGGTCATAGTGAGAATAAAATATGATAATGCAAGTTTCATCTGTAACATATAATAAAGTATTCAGTTAAAATTAATTCTTTTCCTGTCTACTTTTATATCCTTAACATATAATAGACTATATATATTCTTTTAGCGCCAACCACTGTACTGCAACCTCTTGCGTTCTAATGTTTGGAATGTTAGGGGTTTTTTTTATTAGGAAAGAGAAGACATATAGAAAAGTTTATGTTGATTCAATCCAGTACTCTCATCACTAAGTTAAAATTTTTATTATATAATCATTATTATAAACTATGAAATTGCAAAAGGAATAGAAAAATTCATCTCTATCCTCAAGGAATTCATACATAGGGAGACAGGATGAATGTCCACACTATATTTGTAGTCTCATTTCCTCTCTGCATACATAATTCAATATCATATTATGCATTTTATTTACTGTCAATAATCTAATAATAAAATAAAGAAAATAATAAAAATATATCTATCTGTGTGTATATATGTATATATAAAGAGAAATTTTAAAAGTATAAATTCATATAGTTATTTAAAGCTAAATATTAAATTATTGAATATTAGGACATACCTATGTAATACAGACTAAGAAAAGGGAAATTTGTAGGTTATCACATAGTTTGTCAAGAAGCAACAGTGATGGATCCTTCCTTCTTGGTTGATGAGTTGAAAAGTACAACAAATTCAGGAAGCAAACTATAACTTATTCTAATTCAACAAAAAATGTTATTGACTGATCTACTGTGTATCCACAAGACAACTTAAATTCTTTGAATGTAAATTTTATATTAAAGACATACTTAAAAGTCAAGCAAAAATGTTGACATGTCAAATTACTGAATTGTAATAATTCTGAGAGGTTAAACATATGCACATTCTTTCCTGTAAATAACCCAGCATATCAAAATAGAAAAAGTTATTAGTTAATTATATTAAAAATTGGAAAACCCAGAATACTAGAAAAATGTGAAAAGATTAGACCAATTATGGTTCCTCCAGTCGACAGATGATTATAAAACCCTTAAAATGGTCATGAACATGATGCAGAAACTTTAAAAAATATTTCAAACAAAACTGATTAGCAATAAAATACAAAGTTCCTTGTGCATTAGAATTATAGTTATGTGATCATTATGTTTATGGATGAAGAGAAACTGGGGAGAAAATATATAAAATTTATCTTTGGGTGGTGGGATATCAAGAAAATTTTTAAAATGCAATATTTTTAAATTTCTAATTTTTATACGGCTGACCTCTGATCAATTTTATAAAAGGGACAGAAAATAAAATATGATAGTTATGATAATGGAGTTATGTATGCTATACAAAGGAAAGACACAGGAAAAGGTTAATTCTAGTTTCCTAGGAAAGCCAGGAATGGATACATAGAAGAGATAACCTCAAGCTAAGACTTCAAATAGGAAGTTGAAGTCAACAAGAGTTAGAGAGAGCATTCCAGGTACAGTGAACAAATAGAAGAAGTAAGGAGCCATAAAGAGGCACAAGAAACTTCAAGTAGATCCATGGCTCTGGAACATAAAATGTGAGAGGTGAAGGTAGGAGATGAGACTGGGCAGTTGGGTAGGGCCGTTTGTGTCACGTTGAGTAGTTTTGATTTTTGTCCCGAGGAGCCATTTACAGCACCAGCCCAGAGTAAGGGAAGTGAGTCACCTGATCAAGTTTTCCAGTTAAAAAGGTCACTCAGGCAATGTGGAGGGTGTCTGGAAGAAGGGTTGAGAACTAAAGGATTTGTGTGAAGGCTATTGTGAAAGCCCAGACAAGAAGTGCGCAGGGCCTGAACCACACAAGTAATAATGGGAATGAAGAAGAAGGAATTTGCTAGAGCAACGGTTCCCAACGTTCTGTTTGTAAATCATGTGCATAACATTTGTAAGCCATACCTGAGACTTACTGTCTCTGGAGGGAAGAACCCATTACCAACATTTTAAGTAGGTGCCCAAGGTGATTCAGAAACACAAAGTTGAGAGCCCCTTTTTTAAAAATCCTTAAGTATAGTTGGTAATATTTAATGATTTTTTGTGGAAATGAGGGATTATTTAGGACAATGCTTCTGTTGTGGACATCTGAGAATAGTGATAGCATTTGCTAAGATGACCAGTATAGAAAAAGAAGCAGGATATATTAGAAAATGGCTGTATGTAGACCTAGACAGGTTATAAAGGGTGCCCGGGGAACATTCATTTGGAAAAATATAATAGGTGGTTGAATACAAGGGCTTGAAGATCAAAAACAAACCCTAGAATCATCAATATCTAGGTTACAATTAAAGCCATGAACATAAATGGAATTTTCTAGGCAGACTGTATACTGTAAGAAAAGAGCTTTGAGGAACACCAACATTGAAGTGGCAAGCAAGAAGCCATCTACCAGAGACTATGATTTGATTCTGAAGAGAAGCAGAAGAAAATTATATTGCTGCAAACAAATAACAGCTTATTGGTGGAGTTATAAAGTCTTTAGAAAAGATAAACAAATTTTTAGTGTAAAAAAAGGATAGCCATAGTTTGACAGAAGAAAATAGGAAACATTTTAGAGAGGGAAAAGAGCATCAGGGAAACCTAAAAGTAGAAATGGTCACTTGGGAAAGGGTTTTGACATTTGTGCAAGAGAGAATTATATGAGGGCCATAACTAGGTGGTATGGTAATATAGCTGGAGAGTAAATAGCTGTGCCTTTGAAGCCTTGAAGAATGTGAAAACAGTTTCACATTTATGCCAGGGATTTGTGTGATTGACACTTACAGAAAATTTCTAGCTCATGTGAGAAGAATACATTGAGGTGAGACTGCAAGCAGAAAAGTTTGGTAAGAAATCCTCTGGAAAAAGTAAACAAGGGATGGACACATCAGGGAATAAGAAGATCAGGGCCCAACTAAAGCAGTGGAAACAAGTTACTTCATCATTTTGAAGACTGGACCTCTCAGCAATTTAAGATAAAGAACATTTTCTCTAAAGAATCAGCTCCCAAAGGAAGGAGATTTTGTCTTCACTGCTGTTTCCCCCAGAGCCTAGACCACAGTAGGCAATATACATTTCTAAATTAATTCATTAATTGTGGTATCTAAAGCCAGAATAAATTAATGTAAGTGTAAGTGGTATAGTTTTTAAAAATCAAGTAAACAGTTTCAGTGAACAAATATATACTAAGATAGTCAAGGAAGAAACTAATTGTATGATTTGGTAAAATTCTTTTGGAAATTTCATAAGTTTAAAGGGGTTTTTAAAATGTCTAACACTTTCAGACTACTCTTTTCTGAGATCATAAAAAGAATGCATTCTCCATAAATTACCCCTGCATGAAAAATTAAGACATGGTAAAATGTTAGGTGGAGTTTAGTAACTCTAAGGGAGCACTCTGTTTTTACTTATTCTTGCAATATTTTTCCAAAGGATATTCTGGACCACTGAAGGAAATTCCTCCTGAAAGATTCAACACCACAGCTGTCCCTAAGTATTATCAGTCGCCCTGGGAACAGGCCATTAGCAGTGATCCGGAGCTTTTAGAGGCTTTATACCCTAAGTTTTTCAAGCCTGAAGGAAAGGCAGAACTGCCTGATTATAGGAGCTTTAACAGGTAATTCAATTATCCTGAGTGACACTGTTGGCATGTAATACCAAGGTTTTTATATCATAGTACAGAGAACTGAATTCTCTGGTAGAAAATTTTTTTTCTTTTAAGAAAAGACCTTAAATAGTAATATATGGTATCTCCTTAGCATAGCCAAAGACTCGTTTTTACAATACTAATGTCAAGCCTTGGTCCTTTTTGGTATAAAGATGAAGGCTATGATTCAGAAACTATCACCATTATAATATCAAGATTACCCCCACATTTTAAAATGTTATTTTGATAATAATTTCTAATCCAAAGATTGATATTAGTTATGTGTTCTTTCAAATGACAATGTTGTTCAGGAATCTCAGAAATTATTTGCATGTAGGACTATGAGAATTACTATCTAACTCCACGTTCCAATTTATATTGTGTAGGCTTTAAACCAGATTAAAGGTAATTTAGGGATTTACAGCCCAAGACTCCACACATACACAAACCAAAACTTATGCTACTAAAAATATTGCCAAATAATATCTGCTATGATGATTATAGTTTACACAATAGACATTTATTTTTCACTGTTAACCATTTTTTATAATTTCCATGGGGATTTACATATATTTTTAGTGGTTTCATAATTCATTCTTTGATCACTTAATTTTCATTTTAGAGTAAAATATCTCCAGTATCTTGTCCCACACCCACTCAATTTATAGGTTTCTTAGTGACCATTCTTCTAAAAATTAATAAATTAAGGAGTAACTCTTTGATTTACAAAAGAATCCACAAAGTCCACATTTAAATAGTGATCTTCGGAGGTGGGTAGGGGAGAGTATAGCTCAGTGGTAAAGCTCATGCTTAGCATGCATGATATCTTGGGTTCAATCCCCAGTACCCTCATTAAAAAAGTAAATAAATAAAAGAATAAACCTAAGTTACCCCCTGCATCCCCTAAAAATTTTTACTTTAAAAAAATAGTGATCTTCTTTAGTACTTTTAAAAGTATTGTACTTATTAATTATTAACATTTTAGTTTTCATATACTACTATAGTAATAGTATTAGTACTACATCTATTATTAATACACTAGTGATACATCTACTAGTATTTCATCTAATACTATTAACATTATTAGTAATACTAACTGTATAAGTACTACATATATTGCATAAATGAGGTATACCACAGAATTTAAAGAGGGGTTGGGGAGTGGAAAGGAAAGGATGGAAGCCCATTCTAATCAATGACATAATTAAAAAAAATTGGAGTGTAGAAAATTATAAACAGTAAAACATTCGGGAAAATGAAAATAATGGAATACCTGCAGCTTGTTTTTGAGATTAGTGCTTTAGAGATGCCATATCTGTGTACCTTGCGCTTCCAGTACCCCACACTTGCTGAGCAGCTTGCTTCCAGTTCTACAGACACACTGGTGTATCTGGGTTGCTTATAAAGAGATGCCTATTGATTGTATAAAGACCAAGCGCTATAAAAACGAACACAATACTATATAGTCAGGAAATATAGCTCCCTGTGTTAAATCAAGACTTTTGTAAATGTAACATATAGTGTGTGTGCCTGTGTGTGTGTGTGTGTGTGTGAGAGAGAGAGAGAGAGAGAGAGAGAACTTAACCTTCTACTACTTCTCCTTTACTTGAGAAAAATTTATTTTAATATATTTATTTTTTTCTTCCTGTAAAAGCAAATGGGAACAACAGAGAGGGGGGAAATAAGTAGTTTCCTAATATTTCCAAAGTTTTTGCAAAGAGTAAAATAATATTGTTTGGTAGCCCCATATTATTATACATAATTACTAGATATTGTTAATAAAGCATATAAGGGTGATGCAGTCTAACAGCATTCATCAGTGACAGTGACTGGATGAGAATGGGCTCCCAAGGGTAATCATAATTTCAAAATAGCCCATAGTGTAATACAACTTTGCACTCACTCTTGTACTCATTCTGAGATATTTAAATACAATGCTATATTCAAATAACACTATATTAAACCAACATAACATGTGAGGAAAAGTAAATTAGGGGCAAGGAGGTTTCCAGCTCTGCTTCGAACTATACAAGCATTTCACATAATTCTTTACCTTATAAAATATCAGTAATTATTGTGGGTGTATTATATGTCCAGCACTATTAGTTTTTACAAATGCAAATCAATTATTGATCAAAATAAACAAGAAAGCATATATTAACTGAATATTAGTGAAACAAGCTTATTAGTCACTACATAGATGACAAAGTATAAAACTCACTTTACATCAGATCTATGTTTGAAGAAATTACGTTATAGGAATTATAAAGATACACGGTTAACTTTCAGTAGCTATTCCAAAACTTTTAGTGGAATTTTTTGCTTCACAAACTGACTAAAACTTGAAACTATTTTCAGAGATCTTAAAAATCTTACAAATAGTCTCTTGCTTTGAGAGTTTAACATCTCTGTTAATAGACTTTCTTCACTTTAAGTCCAAGGGTAATAAAAATTCAAACAAACAGGATATAGTCTCAATGGTGCCAAAAAAAAGAAAACTGCTTTTCAAACAGCAACCTTTCACTGAATAAGTGGTAGGAGGTAGAAGATGGGTGATGAAATGGAAGAGAATATTTTCATTTATGGAGGAAAACAACCCACAAATTAGGAGGGAAAAACAAAACAGAACTGGATAAAAAGGAAAAAACGAATGCATTCAGTGCCAAACCCAAACATTGGATTTCAGTGGCACAAGAACATTTCTTTTTTCATTTAATTCAGAAAAAAAATAAATAAATGAATAAAGTTGATTTCTGGAATCAAAAATATAAGATTAATTGACCAAATTAGCCTAAATCTAGAAATGTTCAACTCCAGCCTCTTGTATCCAATGGATAACTGTATATTTTTAAACTCTTAAAAATAGATGTGCAGCCTGTGCAATTGCAGGGGGTCTCACACTTAAAAAGGCCATGGTTGGTTTTAATGCTTTGCCTTAATGTTTGAAATTCTTAACAATTTTTAAATAAGGGGCCCCAAGTTTTCATTTTGCACTGCGCCCTACAAAATTATGTAGCTGGTCCTAATCCCAGGCTCTAAGCTTTACCCTAAACTCCTCTGCATTCAGGACATTTTTCCCTTGAAATAACTATCTTATTCTACAATGTGTTTTTTTTCTCTCCTCATGTTTCACTCTTTACTTGTCTGAGTTCATTGAAATTAAAATTTAATGCAATCTTTCCATCTTTGAATTCCTAAGATATAGCAGAATGTCTAGATGTAGTAAGCAATCAGTAATTTGTTGCATGAATAAATGAATGAATCAACAAATGAACAAACTACTGCTTTACAATGTTAAGTTTCTAAAATGACAAAATATTGTCTTGGACATCTTAGCCATCCAAAAATAAGTTTACTTATAAACTGAAGCAAATTTGAGTCATAAAGGCTCAATTCACTAAGTAAAGTGACAAAATGTGGGACATTAAATCAGTTACATCATGATATGACATCATGAATGTGACTGGTCTGACATCATTTAGACACAGCCAAATGGCTGAGACTCCTAAACATACTGCTCTACTCAGAAAGTGATCACAGAAGGCCCAATACTCCTTAAGAATTAGCCCGTGGGGTACAGTATAAGGTAACATAGAATAGCAGGTCTTCAGTGAGTCTGGAAGCCTGGGTTTAAATCCCGATTCTACGATTTACTAGGTCGGTGACTTTGGACAAGTCATTTAACTACTGAGCCTCAGTTTCATCTATTAAATGGGGATATAAAAAGAATCAACTCATAAAGTTGTGTCAGAATTTAATGATACAATCATGTAAAGCTTTGATACTCAAAGTGTGGTCAGACCAGTTGTGCTGGCAATACCTGAGAACTGGTTAGAAATGCAGAATCTCAAGAAACATAGTAGATCGACTGAATTAGCATCTGCACTTTAACAAGATCCCAAGGTGATTCTTATATCAACAGAGTTTGAGACGAACTTAAAACAGTGTAGGTGCATGGTACCCAGTCAATAAATACTAGCTTTCATTATTACCATGCTTTCTGAAGTTTAATAATCATAATACACCTGACTGATAATCTGAATTCTTAAAGTGCTTTTCCAAACCAATCTCTCTTAACTCCAGAGTAATGGTTTTAGGTCCTGGACGTGTAAGTCTATACTGATATGATGCTGAAATACTACATTAGACTGAGGTCACTACCCCAATCATGCTGTTACCCATATCTTCCACAACAATTTGGGAAAAATATTATAAGGTCAGGCATCTTGAGAATAGATGCAAAAAAAGCAAAACATACCATTCTTCAGAAGAGAGCAAAACAGTGGAAGACAAGAAAATTATGGGCCAATAAGACATGAGATTCTGTACTATATGACACAGTCACATCTGCTATAGCCATTGCTGAGGTCATCGATCCACTCTGTGGACATTCCCTTCTCTGAAGATTTTAAAATCTGGCTCACTGTCTTCTTCCCCAATATTATTTCGGTCATTGCTTTTTGGTGGTTTACCTATCCATCTAAGTGATCCACTGAACTCCTGGCCCTCTCAAGTTCTTGACTATCTCGCTTTTAAGGATTATTTTCTCAATCCCACCTCAGTCACTCTTGACTTAAAGTTTGTCATTTCCAGTACTCATATCACCTTCAAAATCAATCAGTGCTATGCTATAGGAACTTGGTTAAGAAAGACAGTGTGGGCTGGGATAGCAGGAAGGAAATTAGAACTTAAAGGCCACAGGACATACACAAGTGGAGAAGAGGCACAGAGGACATATCTTAAGCAAGTGCAACATTGTTATCAAAGGCACAAAGGCAAGAAATGTTTGTGATGACTCAGGGTACATGGAACAGATTAGTCCAAAACCAAGAGTGCATACAAAAGGACTTTACACCAATTTATTGCCAAATATCTACTTTATCATAAAGGCACAGTCCTTGAATGGAAATGCTTGCCTCAAAGGTCAAAAATTGAAACCCTACTAAGAATATAACATAACAACAGGCCCATAAGATCATGCATAAAATTGTTTTCTATTTTCTGGCAAATAAATCTGAATATTAATTAACGTACTTTTTTTCTTTTCATTTCTCACAGAGTTGCCACCCCATTTGGAGGTTTTGAAAAAGCATCAAAAATGGTTAAATTCAAGGTTCCAGATTTTGACCTACTACTTTTAACAGATCCCAGGTTCATGGCCTTTGCCAATCCTCTTTCTGGCAGACGGTCCTTTAATAGGACTCCCAAGGGATGGATATCCGAGAATATTCCTATAGTGATAACAACTGAACCTACAGAGGATACCAAGGATACCACCATACCAGAATCAGAAGACCTATGAAAAGAAAGTTGTATGTGCCACAAAAACCTCTGAACATAAATGTTGCTGTTTTACTATTCTGCTTACTGACAAAGCCATTTACACTCTTCATTAGTAGCAATAATTTAATAGCAATTTAGCAGTTTTCCTCTTATGGCATCTAATTTCAATCTCAGATCAAATACTAATAAATAACTCATGATCTTATTTTACAAACTTTAAACTCAGTTGTCTTCATTCATAATCTTTTTTTCACCTCGTTTAAGTGATCCAGCCTTTTCATTAGAAAATCTAGAAAAGTAACTGACAACAAAGGGTTTCATTTTTCTTGCCTTTAATATGAGCTATTACTCATGAAAATGTTTTTCAAATGAATCTAGAATGAAAATATAGCACAAGATATTTAAATTAATTCAGAGTTTTATTTAAGGGATAAAAGCTATAGAAGCTGATATACAAACATTACTGATGCAGAAAAGGGTTGGATTCTACTTTTCTGACAAGCTTCAAACAAGCTTGTCTGGATGAAGTCTTTTCATTAGTCATTCTTAGAATTTCTAAAGTGCTTTGTATTTTTCAACGTGCTTTGAATCATTAGGTAATTATTCCAGATGACATCATTCTTCAGAGTTCAGTTGGGTTATTATTTTTTTAGTATTTAGTCAAGGAGACTGAGAGACAGTTACTCAAAGAACATCATACTGTTGCAGTTTTCATGACCAAGGGAGATGGAGCGGGAGAGGGAATTCAATTCCACCAATCCCAATGTTGTGCATTGATCAGTTCAACTTTACGCATTTTTTAAAGAGTAGTAACAAATAAAACACATGCTAATATACATACAAATACATGTATATGAGAGAGGGAAAAAGAGTGTGTATTTAGAACTGGCAGCTTTCTTCACTAAGTCTTTGAATTCTACTCAAATCCTTAAGCACTAGGGAGTACATGTCATAAAACACACAGGAAAACAAGAAATGGAAGAACATAAAAGCATCTAGAAGTAAAATAGCATGCATCTATCATGAAATATATGAATATATTGGTATAAAAGACTCAAACTAATATAAAGTTATAGACATATCTTAAAACATGGGTGAGGAAGTATATGACATGGGACTGGTAAGAAATAAATCACAATTTAGTTAAAAGTTCTGTGATAGATGTTTATACCAGAGAAGAAATGTCTCATCTATAGAAAGCTATTTGCTGGATTAAGTTTAGGAGATAGGAAGAAGAAAAGTACGTAATAGGGTAATGAAAATACCATGTAGCAACATCACATAATTTACAGAAGAATCTGTATGTAATGTTGAAATTGGTGGTTGTTTTAATCAACTTCTAATCTTGAAAGTAGAGAAATTTTTTAAAACTTTGCTTATGAAAATGCAATCCTGAGAAAGGAATAATATTAATGTATCATATTTATGTGCATTATCATTGTAGAGAGTTTGTATAATTTAAAATATACCCTTAAGGTATCTTAGTTTTTTTATGTTTTGGTGTTTATCTGTTTAAAACAACAACGTTGGCAACTGTGATAAACTCCAGATATAAGGCTCCAATCATGCCATTTTTTTGTTCATTTTAATCTTTTAAAAATAAGAATTAGTCATATTCTATTATGCATCTTGATGAAATGGTTTAGTTCTTTATTAGGAAGTTGAAATGAGTTACTATTTTTCATTAAATTGAAACTACACATTATTTAGCTATCTCTGAAGAGTTAAATTCTATGTTCAATGTCACCACTCTGTCAACTACCAAAAGGGGTTAGCAATTAAATAGCTATGAAACAGTATTCTCCAGTATCATAAAGGAGAACTTAAAAGGGGGGAAATCCTAAGTATTTTTTTAACTGGGTAAAAAAATGAAGGAATAACCCTCTGTTCACTATCGTATTTCTTCCTTTCCTGGAAATGTCTATTAATTCTAGCTCAGCTGTCTGACACCTTTAGAAGTGCCAACATTTCACACTCTGGTTACTACACAATTAGAATTTGAAAGGAATTTGAATAGGTTTTCCACTGACCTGAAAAGCAACTAAATCTTTCAAAGTCTGAAGAAATATGATAGCCTTTTTAGGACAGCAGAAAGACTGTGGCATTTTTTCCCAACCACATTTGTATACAAGAAAAATGAAATGCAGGAGAAAGAAAATTTCTTTTAGAAAAAATAAATGAATGAAAATAACATTTGTTGATGGACTACTAAGTATCAAGCACTATATTCACTGCTTTATAAAGGCTATTTAATGTATGTCTTTAATATTACTTTATTTTCATGATTATCCTGTGAGAAAGGTATTATAAATAAACTCTATTTCATAATAAAAAATTGAGCCTTAGAAAACTAAGATTATTACATTAATTCTAGCTCAAAAGTGGAAGAATTTGGTGAGTCGAAAATATATGATCTAAGAACTCATGGTTCATAACTTCTCTCTCAAAATAATTTCAGCCTTAAACTATTTTATTATGTCTAGACAAGAATAATAAAAAAAAAATCTCCATTATCTTAATTTTGAGAAAATACAGCTATAAATTCAGTAATTTTAGAGTCACCCTACAAAGTCATTCAGGCACTCATAACTATAAAAAGATGAATTTTCAGACTGTTGAAACAAGCAATATGCATGTTTAATTATGAAATTAGAGAAACACAAAAGCATACTCTGATTAAACCTGCTTGTTTTTGCTCAGCATTGGGCACGTTTCTGATTCATGTAAACTTTTTTTTTCCTTTCCCCCATAAGGGCAAAGAAAAAGGAAAGAAGAGGAAATAAAGAGGAAACAAATGCATGACACTAATAACCATAAGGCTGAGCAAAATCATGTGGTGTGATAACACATCAAAAACATTCCTTTAAATAAAAATATTTTCTACTTTTCAAAACTTTAACAGAAACTCAATTTCCATTATACTGTTCAACAGACTTTCAGGCCATGAAATTATACCTCCTATTTTATTTAGCCAATTTCTTGATGATCAGCTGGCTAATTGTTCTCTAGATAATAACTAGAGCTACATTAACAAGAGCTGTGGTTAGAAACATTCTTGGCTTTTAACTCTCCATTCTCTTCAATCATTTCTCAAGGCTAGTATTTTCCATTTCTTAACTCAGTATTTGAAAGGACTTGATAATTTAAAGTAACTGATTATTGGTTATTACAAAATCAAGGCAAATGCAGACAATAATTTTTAGTGAAGATGACCATTTATTGCATCCACTTAAAATTTTATGTTTTCTAAATGGACCCATTTACAAATGTTTTAGCAGCTTGGAAATGGAGGGAGCTAATTATTCTAACAAAGGCTAATGTGGAGCAAAATGTCCAGTCGTGAGTGTGAAAAGAACATCCTGAACTTTCCAACTCAGGGCACAGCCGTACCAGCAGACTTATTAATTCTGGAATTTCCTCACTCTGCTGCTTATACAAGATAAAACTTACATGACATCATTGCAGTTTCTCAGCCACAACTGCTTTTTATTAAGCTTAGGAAAGTATTGCTTTGAATGCCCCTTTTCTTATGAAAAATACTTTCGACCTCCACACGCTCTATTCTGTAGGAAGAAGGGCAGTTCACTTTCTATGAAAGGTGGAAGAGTGCCAGGCTTTTGCCAAAAGAACAAGCAAAGGGAGTCTTTTCCAAACTAACCCATCAAAGCACTTTATAAACACATCAAACAATTTTTAGAAAATAATCATGTTTTAAAAAGTTAAACTTTTCAGAACTAAGAAAAATGTAAGTAAAATTGTATAAGGATTCAATGGCTTAAGCTGATATATTATTAGATAAATAAAAGGATGTGTCCCCTATTTGAATTCCTTTAATAAAAGAACTAGATTCCAACCCAGGATATAAACTTTCCCTGGCTTCTCAATATAATGTGATTTCAACAGGAAGATTTGGTATGTAGGAGCAAAGAGGAGGAAAAAAAGCTATTTCTAAGAGGTTACAGTTCAGATCCCAAAAGAATGTACTTATTATTTTGTATTGTGTAATATTTTGAAACATATTTCAGTGACAACTTAAATAGTATAGGAGATGAAGATGTTGCAGGAAACAGAATTGGAAAAGGTCAGAAGGAAAAAAGATAAATTCAATATCATATCCTATTTTAAAACTGCTGATTGAAGAATTGGTATAGATGCTGCAGCACTATCAAAATAAATCTAAAAGAACAGGGGGATAAAAGGAATGCCAGAATGAAGCAGGCTGAGAGGAAATAACTGTGTTATTCTATGGTTTCTGGAGCCTTTTCCTCACCCCTTTGAAGCAGTTTTTTTCTACATATACACAATTGTCTGACATGAATTGTCACCCAAATAGGCACTCTCACTACATTTTCTTTCTCACCACTAACATACAAACTGCATATAAAAGCAGTTGTATTTAAAAGTGTCAGCTATCTGATCTACCACAAATCAGTGCTATAAATCTCAAGCAATTTATTTTGCCCTGGAAATTAGAGTTCCCACAAATGTGTGAGGTTCAAAGGCCACCTTTGCCTGAGACCTTACTTGACCTCCCCTACTTAAGAGAGCACACTTACAACACCTAACTGTGCTTATATTTTTCTTTATAGCCCTATTATTCCCTAACAAAATGTGTTAGTCTGGGTTCTCTGAGAAGCAGATGCGAAGATGGAGTTACACCTGCAAAAATTTTATTAGGAAAATTGTCCATGTGAGAGAAAATGGGGAGGGTCAAAGAAAGGCTGGGAGAGACCCAAAGGACCCCAGATTGAAGTGCATGGACGTGTTCTAGACTGCTGGTAGGGAAGATCTGGTAAGGCTGTTGAGAGATCCTTGAGCCAAAGTCACCTGCAGGAGAGGTCCTGTGTTTCCCAGAAACAGGTCTGCCTTAGGGTCACTGTCATGGTCAGTCACAAGCTGGGAGCAGACTGTGAAAGGCAGACTCAACAAGAAGGCAGGGAAGGAGGTCCATGTGAGCAGAACCGGGGCCCTCTGTCAACTATGTTGCTGGAGATCTGCAAGATGTGACCACCACACATGATAAAAGTACGTATTTCTTTATTGTTTATCTCATCCACCAGAATGAACACTCTTTGAGAGTAAAGAGTTTGTCTTTTTTATTAACTGCTATATCCTCTGTGCTTGGTACATAGTGAAGAATAAAACTTTGTTAAATAAATAAATGTATCCTAATTATGGGGATAGTACTAGTATCTATCTTAAAAATAATCATTATAAAGTATATTACCCAATACATGGTAAACGCTTGATAAGTATTAGCTATTGTTGATAACAAAATAAAAATTACCAAAAAAATCACACAGTAAGAAAGCAGAGGCATTTAGAACTAAGTTAGACTAGAGGTTATACTGGAACAGCTTTGGGATAGACATATTTGGCCCTGATTTGGAATATATGTTAAAGCAATGAGCATATTAAATATATACATAATCAGAAAGATTAAAGTGGCCTTACTACTTTTAGGATAAGCATTAGTGTTAGCTCTATTCTCCAGACTCAAAATTGCAATAAATGGAGATTTTCAAGGATCTTGCTAAAATAGTACTATTTCTTGTGAGCATTCACGTATTTTGGAGGTCACTTGAGAATTTAAAAAAAAAATCAGTATGGTGAATACTATCCTTGATCAGTATATCCTACCTCTTCAGAAAATACATTACACAACCAGAAAGGAGTTCCCTTTCTGGTTTGATTGCTACATAAACTTTCATTTCTTTTTTTAAATTTATTTAACTAAAATGGATTTTCATTTAAGTATCTGTTTAGAATGTTTCAAATCAAGAATATGTTACCCTTGAATTTCAATGCTTTGGCACAATCATCTCTAGAGAGTTCATGAACAAAAATAATCATCCAAAGTCCCCTTCTCTGAGAGGCTTGTGTAAAGAAGTTAGGGATCTGGTAGTCATAAATAGGGAAAGGAGGTGATTACTCTGTGAGCTGATGCTAACAATAATGGGAAATTCACCTAAATATAGTCAACCTGAAATAACTTTTTCTTCTTTCCATCTTATCTTGAAAAAGCAGGCTTGAATATTTCCCAAGCTCAGTTTTAAACTTAGTTCCTAATTATCTATTTTACCTTACTTCTACCTATGTGAAAATTTGGAGCTAATGAAAATTCTACAACATAGCTGATTTGTCTCAGGGTACAGGCTTCCTGGGCAAGACTGTCTTCTAAGCCATATACCACTCTAGGCTCAGTTTTTATTTTGGAACATAAAGTCAAATGCAAACATGGATCATGTTTATTCAAGAAACATTCTTTACTTCTGATAGGGATACATTTGGGAGTTTGAGATTTGCAAATGTTAGCCACTATATATAAAAATAGATTAAAACGTTCAAATTTCTCTTGTATAGCACAGGGAACTATATTCAATATCTTGTAATAATCTTTAATGAAAAAGAATATGAAAATGAATATATGGGTATATATGCATAACTGGGACATTGTGCTGTGTGCCAGAAATTGACATATTGTAACTGACTGTACCTCAATTAAAAACAATAAAAAAAATAAAGAAAGAGATGTGGACATAGTTTATGATTAATTACAAGAAGCTTCCTCACAAACTCATCAAAATCTATTAAAAACACATTTAACTTATCTTAATGCTATAGATTGAATGTGCATGGCCCCCCTAAAATCAGTATGTTGAAATCCTAATCCCTATTCGATAGTATTAGGAGGTGGGTCCTTTAGGAGGTGATTAAGTGATGAGAGTGTAGTCCTCATGAAAGGGATTAGTGTCTTTACAGAAGAGACTCCACAAAGTTCCCTTGCCCCTTTCCCCATGTAAGTACACAGAGAGACAAGAGCCATCTATGCCATCTATGAATCAGGAAGTGGGCTCTCGCCAGACACCAAATTTGTCAGTGCCTTGCCTTAGTCTTCCTAGCTTCCAGAACTGTGGGAAATAAATTTCTGTTGTCTATAAGTCACCCAGTCTACAATATTCTGTTATAGTAATCTGAATAGACTAAGACACATAGCAACACAGAAAAATTATCATGCTTTCAGATGCAAATACATACAAGTGTATCAATTATGGTTAATGATAATAATTATTAGACTGTATTAGACTATGCCATTTGTACAATTCTATACCCTGATGTTTAAGTGTCCTCTTGTTAGCATATGAAGAGGATATTAATATTTTAGATATAATAGTATGAATAAGCAGAGAGTTATTATTTTGACAAAAATAAACCACAAGTACTATATGAATAGCATAAAGAAACACTCCCCTGGGTTTGAATAAACAATGATTTGCTTAGAATCAAAGCAGTTTAGAATTAGATATTATCTTGAAATAGGCTAGATCAATTCCTTCATTTATAAAATAGAAACTTAGATCAGAGAAGTTAAGAAACTAGCCCAATCTCACATTGCACATCTAAAATCGGAATCAAAGAGTCCTGCTTCTGATCTAACATTCCTTCCACTATCTTATTCTCTCTCCTATCTCAGTTGAGAACAAAACCATCCACATGGGCACCATCCACACACCTTCTGGTGACATTACACACTCTACACAATTTCACATGTACCTATATCTATATAAATATAACCTTATATAATTGGTATATCCCTCTTTTAAGCCATGGAAAAATGTAACTGAATTGGGATAATGTTAGTAATACATGGAGCCAGAGAGTAAAGGTTTTTTTTTTTACTTACAGTGTTAGTAACTTTTCCTTTTGTCAGCAAAAAAAAAGTTAATGTGACAATATCAAACCAAAATGAATATTCTTTTCTAATCAAAAGGGAGTATATTTTCAAACTGTACTTAAGAAAAGAGTAAACATTGCTCCTTCCACTAAAAACTTCTTGGTCCATGTCTTTCAAACTATAGTTGTACTTTGCTAGGTGGTGTAAAAATTAATTTAGATGGTTATGATCAGCAGCTTTTCAAATGGGATAGAACAGAATACATGAAAAGAAAAATCAGAGCATATCACTCACAGAAATACTATTATTTCAGGAAACTACTGATTTTGTTTTATTTTTGTTTGTGTGAACTGGATCTCAATATAAAAATATTGCTTACTCTAGTTGCAGTCTGAAATGTTTAAAAGCTACTGTTCTACCTACTACTAAATGCTGTTTCAAGTTTAAATGTCACTACTGTTTTTAGTAACTGAAATGGCTTTTCTTCATCACATAAAAACTATTATAACTAATTTGATGAAGAGAATTCTTCAGAACTAAAAGAATTTGAAACAGTAGCAGAACTAAACTTGCAGAAAGCAATTTAATCAGAAAACCTTGATTTAAAAATATACAAAAAGGTATTAACTCACATTCCAGGGATATTACTTGCTAAGAGTTTGTTTTTCTTCCAGCACAATTTCAGTTTTAGGGCTTGTTTTAAAGATAAGAGAATGAAAGATTCAAGAGTACTAACAGTTAAGAAATAAAGAAAATAAGTACTCTAAAATTTCTGCCTTTACCTGTAATTCTTTGAATTATTTCTATCACTGCATATTTTCCAACAATTTTATTACTTTATTAAAAAATAAGCCTTATTCCCCTTTTTTCTTTTGACTATGAAGTGAATTTCAACAAGGAAGTTCAACTTGAAAACACTGGTACCCGGAATATTTTTGTCATCTTTACAAAGAAAAGTGCTCTCCAGGGCAACTTCCTTTGGGTTCATTGCTTAAGCCAATACTCTACGAGCAAAAGACTCAGTGTTATTTTACTATTGTATTCCTAAAAGAACTATTTAAAAACAAGTCAGTCCAAGATGTATAGATAGTTGTGTGTGTGTGTGTGTGTGTGTGTGTGTGTGTGTGTGTGTGTGTGCACAAGTATGCACATGTCATAAAGACTTACATTTCTTAGATTCTTAAAGGGTGGGAAAATAAGTTTGGTAAATTTCCAAACACCATAGTATTTTTCATAAAGTCAGAGTAGTGCTCTTGACTTCTTCCTTATGTCTTTCAGAAGGGCACAAAGGTGTCAAGCACGTTTATCAGCAGTATTTCAATACAGAAGAAATTTGACTGCACTTTAAGAAACAAACAGTGCTATCTTCTACAAAACTTTAGAATAATTCAGGAAAAAATATTCCACAACAGGCAAATTCCATGTGATTAGGAATTGGATTTTAGTCCTGGTTCTATTAGTGTCTAGCATAAGCTTTGATAATTTTACTTCCCTGAGCTTAAGTGTCTTCACCTGAATATTGAGGAATTTTAGCAAACTAATCTCTGAGATCTTTTCTATCTCTAAGATTCTAAAGAACTGTATAATAAAACATTATAAAACTTGTTTTAGAAAAAATTTAAAGAGAAATTGTATTTATGCACAAAAATCCTAGTGAATGAATTTCAATCAAAACCTAGATGTTTTCAACCTTTACTTCTAGATGTATTAGTATGGTACATATTGCCTTCCTCATTTCTACTTGCTTTACTGTATTTCCATGGCAGTAGCCAGACATTAGACTTAACTGTAGGTTCTTTAACTTAGTAATTCAGTTTATGTTTATTGAGTGTCTCCTTTATGCCAGACACTGTGCTAGGTATCTCACTTTCATTGTCTCTAAAATAAGGATATTAATAATATCTAAATATTAATATTTTAGAGTTGTTGGGAAAGTTTAATAAAGTAATTTGCATACAGCACTTACTTCTTGACATATTTTGGAATTAAATAACAACTGGGAAAAGATCCTTTCATTTCACACCTTTAGTAGTTAGAAGCATGGGGTCTAATACCTTCCTTTATGGATTAAGAAAGGTTAAAAGAGGTAAACTGACTTGCCTACATTGATACAGCCTGACAGCAAGAGAGTTCCATACTTACTTGAGAGCAGGAGAGTTTCATAATTCTCTATCCATTCTTTCCATCATATCATGATGTTTCTGAACACAAGCAACTGTACCATCTGTTTCTTTCATTCTTTCTCTCAGATTACAAAACATTGCCAGAAAAAAAAATTGCGCAAATAAATGCCCACAGGGGTGGCAATCCTACTAATCTTGTAAACACGAATCCAGTTAGGGATTAGCTAGGACACCCTGCTACAAACAGATGAGGAAATTTGGGTTTTAGAGTAGTTAATAATTGCTTAAGGTCACACAAACAATAAATGGTAATGTAAGGATTTGAACCTAGGTCTGCCCAGGTCCAAAGGCCATGCTCTTCTATGATACCATGTTGTCATTAAAAATGGTCTCTACCTGGCTTTCTAAACAATTTTAATGCTGTCAATTAGGGTTAACTTTGGCTATAGCTGGAGGTGAATGTCAGGAATCCAGCCTTCATCAACATTTTCCTCAATGATTTAGCTGAAGACAAAGAAGATATCACTAAATTTGGTAATATAAAAATTGAGGAAAAACAGTGACTCTTATGAGATGTGGACTAAAACTTCAAAATGTAATAGGATGCTTTAAATAAATGAAGGAAACAGATGATGAAGTTGCCTCTGTTCTGAGGCAATATAAGCATTTGTGTCCAAAGAAACTAATGGCCTTAAAATTTGTGAAACTTGGCCTAATACTGACTCACAAAAACAAAATAATGAAACAAAAATTTTAGTATTTTGAATATAAACTTACATTGGCTAACAAAGCAATATAGTTGCAAAATGAGTTAAAAACAATCTTACATAAACTGCCCTCACAAAAAGTGTCTGAACCAAGAGAGGAAATAATTTCCCCAAACCATAATCAAGCTAATTGCAAAAATCTGTTTTTATTTTTGGGCACCGTATTTTTTCAGGAGTTGACAACAAAAGTGTGCCCTAAATTTAATTTTATGGATTATGAAGCCTTTTAATGCATTTCCCAGGGACATGTTGATGAATCCATTGTCAGTGAACATAGATAAGAGTCTCCTTAGATGAAGGCTCACAAAGGGGAAAAAGCATTTTAGATGATGACAGAAAAATGTTTTCCTGCTACTCATAACAAATATCATATTCACTTTTGATTTTAGATCAGAGCCAAACAAGTTTAAGCCATAGGTTCATCTCATTCTTTACATTCTACTCATAGTTTAATCTCCCATAGCTCTGATTCTTTTTCTTATTTATATTTGACCACTGTTTCACATTATAGGCAAGTCATTTATTTTTTAGAATTTACTTTAAATCTTTGTAAGATAAGGTGAAGTTAAATGAATGAATGAATGAATGAGTGGATTAGTTTAATACTTACTAGACCTTCAAAAAATTGTTGACAGAACTGAGTAGTTTTAGTTTAAAAACACAAAAGATGTTCTCAAAGTTCAATAGCATCTTATGGAAAAGAGAATATAGGTTTCTGTTGCTACAAAGGACAGAAATAAGACCAGCATGTGAAAATTACTGGGAGGTAAACTTCAACTCATTGTGATGGAAATTTCTTCCCAGTGAAAGAATTCTTAGAGAGGAACAGGATGCCCCACAAAGCATCAGGCTTTCTTTGTCATCATATTTGAATAGAGGCTAGACAACCACTGGCAGGCAGTGAGTGGGAGGCTGGACCAGATGGAATCTAAAGCCTCCTGCATCTTTGAGATTGTAATAAAATACATATTATAGCAAGAAAAACAATAGATAGGTTCTTATAGCATCCCATTATCATCGATGACAGCAGTATTGGTAATCATCATAACAACACTAATGGCCATAATAACACAGTATAGGACTTTACAGTTGCTTTTATCTGGGGCATTATCAAAAGACATCATATATAAGTATTATTTATCATTTCAATTTAACAGATAAGAAAATTAGGATGTTTCAAAGGTAATGAAATTGCCTATGCTGACAATAAGTCAGCAAAAATTAAGGAGGCTACTGATTAAACCACTAACTGTGGTTAACTAGTTAACGTTGACTCTGGTATAGCAGAGGCTTAGAGACATTGAGATTTATGGCTAGTAAAGTTTTGGCTAGGGAAGGAATGGCTAAGATGCCATGGATATTAAATTTGATCTTATGATACTTAACAAAATGTCATGCTGCAGAGATCTGAGGAGTCCAGTGAATACTCAATTCTTGAATTCCCTATATTATAAGAGTACTGAGGACCCTCGGCGACTCTCTCTCCTCCCTCCCCCCATATTGGCCTTATTTTTTCAGACCAGATACTATAAATGACAAGGCACCTTGCCACAAGCACCTCTGAGCTCACATTTTTATAGCTTTGCAATCAGAGACAAAAGGGATCTTCTCTGCAAGCACTAATTTGAAAATTCCTGGGTAAGAATGCTGATTAGCTTGAATCACTCATGCACCAATCACCACAGCCAGAAAATGGCGAAATTCCTCACATGGAGTTATGCTCATCCTGTGGATCTATTACTGAAAGCAGAAAAAGGCAAAGCAATATATGTCCACAATACATATTTTGTCAATTGAAAAAAACTGAAATGTATTATTAACCAGACACTTCCAAATACATTTTTGAAACAGTCTTTTTTCTGAGGTGCACATATTAAAAAACTAGGTTTTTAAAAACTTTTTAGAGATTACTTGAGCAAAACTATTATAATTTTATCCCATTTTTGGTACTATGTCCCTTATTTCTTTTTTCCTTCCTGACTGATTTTTATCATCTCATAGACATTAGTTAATTTGGCCATATTATGACTCTACTTATAGTTTTGTTTGTGAGAAGCTACTTAGGATAGGATGGTATTCGTAAAGCACATCTGAATACTGACCGCAAACAAGCAGTCTTCCAGAAGACATTCTTAGTGATGACAACTTCTTTCCAGGTGTCTTCACTCTGCTCTCTTGGGAACTGTGTATTTTAATTTTACAGAAAAAAGAAAAGGAAGAAAAGAAAGCCTTATTCAGTTTCCATTCAGTGACTTACTGTAGATACTAACTCAGGTGTCAAACATCTCTTTATTGATGCCTACTCTGTGCCACTGTAATAAACTTTACAGACAGAATGATGGTCAAGAGAGGCCTTTCACAGGATTTCCTTCCTAGATAGTGAGGAAGACAATAAACAGTAAGCAAGTAAATAAGCTAAGTAACCACAGGTTGTAAAACATGATATGAGTAAACAGAACACTGTGATAGAGATAAGTAGGGAGTTCTAGGTCAAGGATGACTTTCATAAGAAGATGAAGTTAAAACTGAAGCATAGAAAATGAAAAGGATTCAGCCACTTGGACACTCAGGGGAAGGTGTTGTAGGTCAGGGTTTCTCAGCCTTGGCACTACTGACATCTTGGACCATATAATTCTTTGTTGTGGGGGACTGACTTGTCCACTGTAGAATGTTGAACAGCATCATTGGCCTCAACTGACTGGATACCAGTAGTGGTACCCTCTCCCCACCCTAACTGTGACAACCAGAAATGTATTGGCCTTTGCCAGATGTTCCCTGGGAGACACTGTTCTAGGCATAGAGAATAAAGACTCCAAAATACTTGAATAGCATGAGATGTTGTTAGAGAGGTAAGGATAGGTCATTCAGGGGTCTGCAGGCCTTGGCAATAATTTGGATTTTATTTTATGTAAATAGTAAGTCACTGAACACTTTTAAGTTGGGAAGTAACATGTTGACATTTTAAATAGACTACTTTGCTGCTGTGTGGGGAACAGATTTAAAACCACGAGGATAAATGAGATCTTAGGACCAGGCACTGAGGAACACCATCATTTAGAAGTTAAAAGTAGACTGGAAAGTATAAGAGAAAAGCAGATTGAAAAGGAACAACCAAAGAGGTTGGATGAAAGCCATGAGAGAGAATAATGTTACAAAAACTGGGATATGAGTCAAGGAGGAAGTGGTCGATAGAGACTAGATTTTTCTTCTTGGCTTCATCAAGTCACAGACTGAAGATTTCTCTGGAATTGCACTGGCTTAGCTCATCTTCTTGCCTCACTACAATTTCCCCTACAAGTCTTCTGTATATAATTCCAAACTAAACATCCTGTTCAAGAACTTACAAAGGCTTCCTATTATAGCCCTGCATTGGCCTTGTTCATTCCTATTTCTAAAACTTTGCTCTTAAGCAGTCATGTCTCCTCCTCAGAGCCTTCAAATGTGCCTACCCATGAACCTTCCAAGCTGAAACTCATATCTGGTCTCCCACAGAATCCTTCCTCAACAATTTTGGTCCACACAGATGTCTCTATTCTCTAAAAAATCAACAAAACTTCTAGTTTTTCACTCTCTCCACTGAACACATTTAAGTATCTGTGACAGGCTATGCCCTGGAAATACAAGAATGAAAAACATGGTCCTTGCTCTCTAGAAGCTTGTCAGCACTCAATATATCCTTAATGCATTTAGGAAAATAGGAGTTTGCCTTGTATCTAATCCTGAGTCAGCCATTCAGCTACTTCTTCTCTATGCTTACCCTACACAGCTCAGTCATGTTTGACAGGCCTTTAGCTGTTGATTATCTCCTGGGACTACTGGATCACAGGGTAGAATTTTGTTATTCCTACCACTTATCAGTGATAGGGTGAATATGGTCACAAGGTGGTACATCTCCCAAAGTCTGAGTTATGATTACTCCAGAATAATAGTAACAGGCGTGCCCCTAAGTGTGGTGGTGCTGATAATGTAAACTTTGGCTAGGTCTCAGCCAAACAATATAAGGTGGTCTTTGGCTTTCCAAGCCTATTCTCTTTCATGATTTCAAGCCAGTGTGAGGTGCAGAGATCCTTCTTCATTAATTTGGGTCCACCCAATAAATAACTATTGAATCAAACACACACACATATCCCTCAAGAACAAACAGTAATTTTCAGAGGCAATACATTTAAAACCTATGTCGTGACGTTTCTAACTACAAAGTTTTCTGGGAGCAACTCCTATCCTAAAATGCAGTGCATTGTCAATTTTCCTTTTTTTCTATCTGTTTGTTTCAGATGTTTAACTTGTGATCTATTATAAGTCTATCCTTTAAAACTCAGTACATAGATATGCCAAGAACTGGTAGGAAGTTTGAAATTATATGATTAAAAAAGTGTAGAGTCAGGGTTTAGTCAAATTCTTGAGCAGGGTGAACTGAAGGGCATTCTATAATCTCTAAATGAGGAAGGGAGACAGTATGACTATTATCCACAGTTCAAATTATTTTTCAAGAGTGGAGGTGGAGATTGCTCTGTCAGTTACAGATACAAACAAATAATGATAGTACAACATAATTGTTATAAATAAGTCCAAAAAGGGTGAAAGAAGGGCAGGTCTGTCTCACGGAGCTATGAAAGGTTCCATGGAGGAAAAAGTATTCAACTGAGACCTAAAGGATCTTGAGAGAACCTAGTAGGATCATAGAAGGGCAGGGAGTTCAATACAGCTAGTGTAGAGTAAATGGGCAAGAATGGAGATGAGATTAAATGTCCGGGGTCAGACCATGAAGGGGATGGGGAACCCCTGAAAAAATCTTGGCAGAGGAATCTCATGCTCATAATTGCATGTTAGAAAAATTATTAATAGAATGGAGTTTGGACTGGAGTGGGAAATCTAGAGGCTATAGCAATAGTCCAAGGGAGATGAGCCGGGAGAGATGATTACTTGATGGATTAAGACAGCGAGAGTGGAGATTAAAAAGAGGGTGGATTTGAGAGATCCTTAAAGAGATAAGTCAATAGAATTTGATATTAGGATAGGGAAAATGAAGGAAATGTAATAATAGGGGTATCCATGGATTCTTGACTTGGGCATCTGGGTGCTATTATCTGAAACAGGGAATGAAAGCAGGCTAGGTTCCAGATGGGGGGGAAGAGATATGGCACTGGGAGTAGGAAATGGTAAAACTGATGTTCATGTCAATTCAGGACATAGTTGAGGTATCTGTGTGAAATCCAAGTGAAGATGCTGCTGCTTAAAAGGACCCAACCTGAAGATACACATTTAGGAGTCCTTTATGCCCAGGACACCTGGTAGGTAAGTAAGGTAGGTAAGTCCATCATGGGGAAGAGACTGAGCAAGGAGATAGGAGGAATAACAATAAAAGAAAATGGAGAGTTTGGGAACACAGAGGAAACATATAAGAAGAAAAATATTTAAAGTGAATTGAGGGGTTAGCTTCAGAACCAGGAGAAAGTGACACTAGGGAAACCAAGGGGAGAGTTAACGGTGTTGCTTTTTAAATATAATTTTCTCCTTCTCCACTAAAAATGTTAAATTTCCCAAAAGCAGGAACTGTATCTTAAATTTCACTGTATTTTCTTCAGTGCCCAATTCAGTAAAGAGAACATAGTAAATGCTCAATAAATTCTCATTCAGTCTCAGATACTATTCGCCCATATCAACCTAAAATGTTTCTTTAACCTGTTTCTTCAAATAAATGTTTAGCGTTACCTATGAGTTTACTTAAATCAGTTTTGTAATCTGTATGTTCTACCTGCACCAGTTTTGAAATAAGTTCCAAAACCTTACTTACTACTTATTGAGAGGGATCTTTGATACTAAAGAGGACAATGGGATTTTCTTTATTACTATTCCTAAGAAACAAGTTATTACAAAACAGTTTAGCCTGTTTCCCAAGCATTAGCTTGTAACTTAAAACCCCTGTTGAAAGCACACGAAGGAGGCAGCCAAATTTTTCTCACAAAAATTAACCAAATTTTTCTCACACCATTAACCGGGTCAACATGTCTATTAAAGCTTTCATTTTATTAACAGTCACGAAACAATCAGTTGGGGAATATATATTCATGCCAACGGAAGCCATTTAACTGCCAACAGATCCCAATAATTCACAGAAAGCTAAAGGGAATTGTGTCTTCGCATAGGGTTTCGATGCCAGGCAATACAGACGGTTTTCTCTGAGGTAACAACACCTAATTTAAAAGTCCAGGCCTGGGTGGATTCGCTTCCTTAGAAAATACTGAATAAATGACCAAGAGCACAGGAATCATCACCTCCACTTGAGGAACTATCCCTTCCTTCCCTCTACACCACATAGACTAACCTGCAGCCACCTTTCTCCGCCAGCTAAGCCCCAGTGCTCCGCTCCCGCCTTAGGAAAAATGGTCAAGCTCCTGCTCTCGCGGGATCTCGCGCCTCAGAGTAACTCAACTGGATCGCGCGCCTCATCGAACCCCCGCGGGAATACAGTTCAGCGGGTTGGGAAAGCCGGGAGGCGGGGCCAACTCGGGGACCATGAAGGTGGAGCCAGCTCGGAGGAGGCGGGGCGGGGACGAGGCGGGGAGAGGGGCGGGGCTCCCAGGACCTGTTGATCGCAGGTGTCAATGTCCTGACTGGCTCCTGGGTGTGGAGGCGTGTGCGCATGCTCCGTGAGCAGGGTCGAGCTCTAGGCGGCGGAGACCAGTCGCCTCTGCTCCAGTTCCCGGTGAGTCTCGGTTACGGTGGCAGCTGTTAGTGTGTCAGCTTGGTGTCGGCTTGAGGCGGAGCTGGGTCAGCGGGAGGAAGCTCTGTGAAAGTAGAAGGCCCGTGTTTCTCTACCTGGACCGCGCTCTCCTCTCGCTAAAAGGGCCGAGCTCAAGGTAAGTCTCCAAAACTAGTCACTGTGTCGTGATCCAACGACCTGCTACCCTCACGGGCCTGTCCGTGAAGCCCTCGTTCCAGCCCCAGACTTCGTCTCTCCCTTCGCAGCCCCGAGACCTCCTCCCCGACCCCACCCTCCTCGGGGCAGACTCAGGGCTCGTTGCCCGGGTTCAGGCTCCCGAGGTCACGCAGCCTTCCCGCCGCGTTCCGGGTCTGGCGGAGATGCCTTTGGCCAGGCTGGAGGCGCCCACGGAGGGCGGAGGTGCTGTACTTACTGGGTAGTGGTTGTTAATTGCTGCTGTGTTTGAGGGCCGGCAAGGAGCTAGAACTTGGGGTCCTGCTGGTTCTCTTAGTGCATTACGCTTACTTGGCGCCTGTCCCTCACTTTCCGAGCCATTGCCTCTCCCGAGCACCAGCATTTTAAAGCTGTCCAGGTGGTTATGTTGCCTTCTTTGGAGAAGAGATGATTCTTGAGAATCTTTGGGCTGGTAGTTTCTGGGTGGTAATAGTAATTTATAAAGTTAATGTTTAGCTTCTACATGGCGACTTATGGGACGTTTATTAAACTACTTTTAAACAACATTGGAGAACAGGAAGTACTTGCACAGGTGTAACAGGGAGGGTTCCTAAAGCCTGCAATCTGAAAGTGCTCTGAGGTTTTGTTATCCTGCTACAAGGTTTTCTTTATCAGTGCGAAGTCTGATTAATACTTGCAAAATGTATTGTAAGGCTTTGTTAGCAGAGTTTGCCAAATATTTTCTTATCTGGAAGAAATATGTATATTTTTGCAAGGAATTTTCAGAGCTACTTCTGAGGGATGTTTAAATTCAGGAGGTTCTTTTGTGATTAGGGTCTGATTCGCTTTTAGTTGTATTCTTTAAAAAAAAAAGCATTGCTGATTCTCAGTATTTAAAGGGAAGAGAACATGCCAACAAATTCTGATCAAAATGAACTTTTGTCTAAATTAATACTTCTTGTTAGTTTTATTTTCTATTCTTTTCAGTTCCATGATGATGGTCGAAGCAATATCCTTAATCTTGTTAAATAGAAATTAAAATTCATTTTGCAAAAGTAATGTATGATTTATCTGCCATTGTCATAAGAATTCCAAATAGACAAACTCACTGTAGGTTGGAGTTGATTATAATCTGATAAAACAAGGTTTTTGTTTTTATGTTACGTTTTAGAGGCTTTTAAAGTGAGCTCTCTGGCAGTTTGTTTAAATACATGATTACTGGTGAGAAACCACGAAGGTGATTAAATTTATTTATAAACTCAACTCAGGTAGTTACATGTTTTGTTCCTACAATGTAAAAGATCTTTCCTTTTTTCCCTATTTACTAAAAAAAAATCTTTCATGAATGTATGTATACAGTTCATGGAACTTGACACTAATAGTTATTTATTAATATTATTATGTTCTCTAAAAGATACAAAAGTAGTTTTAACAAAGAAAGCTATTTTAACGGTGGAAGGGCACTGTTTTCCACCTAGTTTATTTTTTTTCTTAAAATATCACATAACTTATTATTTAGTATGTACTGTGATTCAAGATCTTTTATATTAGTCAAATAAATGTTTATTTTAAACTGTGTAGTGTCAAGAAATACAATTTTGGAATCATCATTTAGAAGCTTGTTTTAGCAAGAGGTAAAAAGTGAAAATTCTATTTTAAGGTAATGTACACATTCAAAAGTCAAAATCAGTATTATTTTCCCTGCTCATACTACTTGGAACTCACTAACCTATCGTGCTAGAAAGTACATTGTTTACCCTACAATTTTCCAAAAATATGTTTGAAATATAGAAAGCAGTAGATTAAGCTGTCCTACAAAGATGTTTAGTTACTAAAATACTGACCAGATCTTGTTACTTGACAGCTTTAACTCAAGGTTTTTCTTAATTATAGACCTTGAAGACAACCTATAGTAAGGTAGCTTATATATTGCATCTGGAAGTATTTTGAACAGTGTGCTAGGTATGCCAGGGCACAAAAGATTGTCAGTCTAGCCTATTGTTGCTCATAGACGCTTGGATTAAGGAAGGAAGAGTGCTAATTTATGTCATCTTTGGAGAGCTAGCTAGATGTTGGTGATGATACATATGTAGCATTAGTATATCATTACTAATTTTGTACAGCTGTAATGATTTTAGAAAATTTTGCATTACAGTATATGCACACAATAGGAACAAGAAACATTCTACCACAGATAAAATCTTCAGAGGTTATTTAAACTTTAACTTTATATAATATCCTAATATTGGCAAGTTATTATGAGTTTTCTTTAAATAATAAAAATACTACAAATAGAATAGGAAAAAAGTGTCTTTTTTTTTGTTTTTTCAAGTTAACAGATGTCCTCTATCAGCGGTGGTTAGAACTGAATTTTAATATAATTGTTTTTCTTTGAAATTTTATAAATTTTTTTCTTTCTTCCTTTCCTATTTCAATGCCATAAACTTTGTTTTATGCTTTACAAACACTCTGAGGGGTCCATAGGCTTCATTAGGCCACTAAGGTGTCCATGACACAAATAGTGCCACAAACCATTGCATATGATTGAAGAATTTTTGTTTTCTATGAGTCACTTCAGAAAAGTTGCTTCATATATTCGTAATTCATCAGAAAATAAAATGTTATGCAACATAAAACTATATTTCAACATCTTAGCTGTTTTAGTGAATAAAGTCAATTACCCTAGTGGTCATGGTATTTTTGAATTAATTTGGAAATAATTATATTACTCTTCTAGCTTTGCTACTATTGAACTGCAAAAAGCAGTTTGAAGACATACTTTTCCTCTGGAATTTGGAAGATTTAACTGACTTTTTGTGCTTTTCTGAGCTAGCAGAATTACTAAGTGATATTTATTGACCTTTTTTTTTTATGCTAGACACTAGACATTGGAAAATTAATAAGACAATGTTAAAGTAGTCAGAAATATGAGTTTGTCTTTTCCAAGCCTCATCTCTGGTTATTCCCAGTGCTCCCACAACTGCACTGAATTTCCAAAGATAAAATAGTCTTTTTCTTACACCCTTGCAATTGCAAGGTACTGCTTCTCTTCCAGCTTCCCAGTTGCCACAGCACACCTGTGAATTGTCTTCTGTTCCAGCAAAGGGCAGTAGATTACTTCATTTTGTGTTACTTTGTATACTCCATTGGTAAGATTTATACTGGGTTGCTGTAGAGGGAAGACAGAATAACTAACGGACTGAAGGTGATAGTGTATTGCATTTTAAGTGTAAGGAGAATGATGGATGCATAGCACAAGGGATGAGAATGCAGGTAGAGAGAGCATTCTCACAACCCAGAGACATGATGAGGACAAAGTAAAGGTGTTATTTTGGGTGCTCTAGTTATTGTTTATGGCTGGATGTTTCATTATGTCATATGAATTAAAATTTTCATTAAGGAAGTTCTGTATTTTCTGAAAAGTTGTACATAGGTTGAAGTTTTCTAAATTAAATCTTCGCTGTTGCTTACCTTGTTATTTTAGTGTTGCTTTCCCTTTATTTCCGATGCATTGCCTTCTAACATTTCAATGTGTTTTTTCTTCTGTAGTCCAAATGGAATTTACAATTTCAAATTCACAAAGTTTAAAATAATACTGTGGTGAATCCACTTGTGAAATGAAGCATTCTCAAAATTTTTTGTAAATTAGAATTTTCCATATTTTCAGTTTTCTTAAAGTAGGATATCTCTATAAGTGAAATTTTTTATTTTTTACTAAGAACGACCTTTTAAAAGATATTAAAATTTAGAAATTAAAACTTTATTATACCATTTATTTGATCCCACTAATCTGGATTAAGGCCTTAGTCAAGATTGATGCATCAGTTTAAGGAAATGGAGAAAGATAACAAAATGGGGTATAAAATATCATAATACAGCTTTTACTTTTTATTCAAATGTGTGATTACATTGTTAAAAATCATTTTATATCAAAAATTTTGTGTTTGTTATAATTAGCTTGCATTTACTGAGTGCTTGCTATGTTTTGCGCATTTATTACGTATTTTATGTGTGGTTTATAATTCTTACAATAACTATCAACTTTTTTATATAGATTATGATTATAGATGATGGTACTGATCTGCTTTTAATGATTGAGTAGTTGTATGAAAAGGAATATATATACATATGTATATGCGTGACTGGGACATTGTGCTGTACATCAGAAATTGACACATTGTAACCCACGGTACTTCAATAAAAACAAACAAACAAACAAACAAACAAATAAAATGATTGAGTAATTGAGTATGTGCTGTATTGGTGGAAGCTTTTCACAGAGTTAGAATTGGGAATCATGAAGTCTATATCAGAACATGGATTTCATCCTTGTTAAGAGCCCATCAGAGCATTCTTTGTTTGCCAGGTAACTTCATGCTTTGGCTTCTTCTAAATTTCTCAGCGTGCATAATAAACTCTTGCCCCGATAATGATGGTCCTCCCTGTTTTTAGGTCAGCAGGCTGTTTGAACCCTAGAAGACTTTTCCTCTTATAAGGTACTGCTAAATGGGTCTAAGATAATTTTACCTCCCTGTCGGTATAGTACTGATACTAACCTAGCTATTGGGTGGTGGGGAATTGTCCTGTACCCTTAGTGCCTAGGTCATCTTTGTTAGGAACACTGATTTCAGAGGGTTTGTTGGTTGAGGTTTCACTTTATTTCCTGAGCTTCCTTCAATAATTATTTAATGACTAGGTACCATATACTGTGCCTTGTTTTAGATAC